GGGCGGCCCCGTCAGTGGCAGCCACTGCTGCACAAACGGCATGGGCCTGCAGCAGGGCAGGGCCATGGCCTAACACCCCATCCAGCCGCACGGGGTGTGCCGCTCTGCACTGCAACCCAGCCGTCATGGAAGCACCTGGAGCACTCTAAGACAGAGGAGCTCATCAAGGTGCAGGTAGGACATGGGGGCAAAACCTGCAGCGACATGTTGGCAGGCCTGGGCCCCTATCTGCGGGAGAACAGGTCCATCAAGACCTCCTCGAGAACCTCCAAGGGGCTAAGAGGCCGCCAGGAGGTGCAGGGAATTCCCTGGCCAGCCAAGCAAACTGTGCGTCGCAAGCAGCTGTGCACAGAGGATGATGAGGCTACGATGCATCATCTATGTAAAATGATGGAGAAGCTGGAGGAGACAGAAGACAAAGTCTATGAAGATATGTTTAGAGCCATCTTTTCCTCTCTGGACGACACAGAAAGGCCCATGAGGTCCAAGTGCATCTTCAGCGATGCATCAAGCCTCACTCTGGAGCCAGCTGCAGGCCCCTCAGTACCGCACGGCATTTGCAGAGGGACCAATGACACCACAGGAGAGACACAAACGTCATCAGAACTTGTGTCTCCTGACCAGTTCTTGGCTGACTCGGGCCCTGTCATGGAGAATTCACCGCCTGCCAATGCTCTTGTCAAGGAATCCGCAGGAGAGGCGGAAAACAAAACAGAGATTGCACATCCTGACCTGTTGGCAGGCCTGTGCTCTCTCTCTGGCAACTCACCACCCTGCGCCTTCCCCGATGAGCTCCTGGAAATTTGTGAGGAAGAGGAGCTCTGTGACGGAGCAGCGGCAGAAGAGAGTGACAGCGAGCCAGACAGCCCGTTGTCTCTCTCATTGCAAGAGGAGGAAGGAGAACCACCAGCTTCTCCCATGGACATGGATCCCTGCATCGAGTACTGCAGCCAGCCTCTCCCCACGGCATTGCTCCAAGACTTAAATATGTCTGTGGGTTGTCCCTTGCCTGCTGACCCTGCGGAGGAGGCCGACGCAGAAGGCATGGAGGCTGGCTGTGCCCGGGCTGCCCCTCCCCAGGAAAAGCCCTGTGCGGATGAGCCGCCGGCAGGGCCGTGCCCGGTGCCTGCCCAGCCCCTGGCACGCAGCGTTCCTGCCTGCACCGCTGGCAGCGCAGCCGTCCCGCAGCCCCCGGCCCCACGGCGATGGCGCTCCATGGCCAAGAGGGCCCGGCGGGCTCTGCGCCGCCTTTTCTCCTTCAGCTGCCTCTGCGGGCAGCCGGAGGAGTGAGCCCGGGGCCAGCACTGGGACGCTCACCAAAGATGCCTCAGGGCTCACCCTGGGCATGCCCAGCTCCCAGGGACAGCGGCAGCTCCCGGAGACAATCGCACCAGGAAGAGTAAAACACCTGATGCACTGAATGGATGGATGGCGCCCAAGGCAACCACCTCCTAAAGGTAGGTCCTGCTGCCGGCCCCAGCCCCTCACCCCCAAGCCAACAGCAAGGCAGCCTGGTCAGGGACAGCTGGCTAAGCAAGGATGACAGCTGCCTGGTAGAATCCCAGAGGAGCTTACTCTAGGCCTCGGCTCCTTTTTCCAGGGCCATCCCCACCCTTCCCTCAAAGCTGCATTAGGAGCTGACAACTTCTACTTGGGCCTCAGCCTTGCAGGTAAATGGAGGCAAGCCCATTCTCTCTTCACATGGCAAATAGGAAAACACCTCCCTGGATACTTGTTACATAAATGGGAGAAAGCTGTTAACTCCTGATGAATGACCCAAGGGCTTCACCTTCACAGGAACCTCCGGGACTCCCAGTGCAGAGACATGCATGGTCAGGACGACCGAGAGGATGCTGCTGGAATCAAGCATCTTGGACTGACCTCTGCTTGATCTCTCCCCTCCCCACCCTACTCTTGCTCTTCCGCATATCACCCCACCCTCAATCTTCCACACAACATCCTCACTCCTCACCCTCTTTTCTTCCCGCCCCCCTCTGTCCCATCCCTATCTCTCTTCCCCACCTATCTTGTTCAATAAAATCCCCATTGTTAACTTCTGTAAATGGTCTCCTTGGCACCTTCATTTGCGCACAGAAATATCTCGCTAATCCCATCTCAACAGGGCCATACATCTACACACAGCACTCCAGTCTGGCCTCCCCAGGGCCTGACACAGAGTGACAGTCACGCTGCGGCCTGGTCCTGGTGGCCACATTAGTGCTGACACAGAAGCCCAGGATGCCACTCACCTCCTCGCCAACTTGGGCAAACAGCGGCTCACATTTGGCTACTCTCAGCCAGCACCCCAAGGCCTTTCCTGCCGGGCACATTTCCAGCCACTCTGCCCCCAGCCTGGGCCACAGCAGGGGCTTCTTGGGACACAAGGGCAGCACCGAGGCCTTGCTCTCCTTGAACCTCACCCTGCTGGCCGCACACCACCCAGCCAGCCTTGCTACATCTGCCTCCAGAGCTCTCCTAATCTCCAGAAAATCAACACTCCCACCCACATTGGTGTCATCACTAAGTTATTACTGAGGGTACCCTGCATGCCCTTGCCCACACCCGCAGGACACACACTGAACAGGACTGGGCCAGGGGCACACAGCTCGTGAGCAGACACCGCTGGATGCGGCACCATTCCCCACCACTCTCTGCACGTGGCCATCCTGACAGTCCTTAACCCAGCAAAGAGCACCCCTGCCCAAGCCCTGGGCTGACAGCTTTGCCAGGACTGTGCTGTGGAAGATGGCATCAAAGGCTTTGCACAAATCCAGGGAGATTCCACACCCTGCTTGCCCCTCAGGACTGGGGCGAGCCACCCACAGCCCGAGGGACATCAGGTTGCGCAGGCAGGTCCTGCCTTTTCTAAACCCACGCTCACTGAGGGACACTGATCCCTCAGCTGTCCTCTCTGGGCCCTGTCATCCCCCTCACCATCATCTGCTCCAGAACCTTGCTGGGCCCTGAGATCAGCCTGACAGGCCTGCAGCTCCCCACATCCTCCCTGTGGCCCTTCTTCAACATGGATGTCACGCTGCCACCTCCACTCATCTGGGCCTTCCCTGACTGACCAAGAGTGATGGCAAAATAGATTGATGAGAGGCTTAGCCAGCACTTCCATGGGCTCCCTCAGCCTCCCTGGGAGATTCTGGGCCAGACCCCCAGACTTGGCAGCATCCAAGTGGCTGCACAGGTCACTGACGACTTCCTCTGTCTCTGGTCTGGTCTGCTTCCCGTCCTTGTGTGCCAGCTCAGGGCACTGCTTGTCCTCCAGAAAACCCATCTGACTGTTGAAGGCGGAGGCAAAGAAGGCATTCCATAACTCAGCCTTTCCATCGTCCCTTGGGACTGTATTCTCCTCATCTCCATGTTGATTAAAAAAAGGCAATTTTCCTCGGAGCTCCGGTGTTCCAAATCTTTTTTACAGAGAGTTTTGATCTCCTTTACAGTAGTGGCCAGACTAAATTCAATTGGGTTTTGTCCTATTCTGATGATATTTCTACCTGGGCTCGAGGCTGGGACACATGCTGGGCTGGGTGGGAATCACACTTTGGCACAGCACAGGGCTTCTTTGGGGATATTTAGGAGCGGATCACAAAAGGCGGGAGCAAGAGAGAGCTGCACGCCTTTGGGAGAAGAACAAGCGTAGGCAAACCAAGGGGCAGAGGACTAAAAAAAGCTTCTCTGACCAGGGGCATCAACATGGAAACCGCCAGGCCTCGGGGACTGGGGATGGGCAGCCATGCCCACCAGACCTTTGTGACCCGCAGTGACATCGTGCCCTGAGACCATTGTGACACGGGTCCATGTTGCAGATCTTGGGGCTACCTCACCCTGCAGTGGCCACTCCCAGGAGAGCAGCTTTCTGAGGAGGCAGCAGCTACTCTGGAGGCAACAGCTCCCTGGGTGATTCTGGCCAGTTTCTGGCAAAAAAACGCCCAAGATGTGGAAGCAGCAGGAGGCGAATGCCCACGGGCATCCCCGTCAGTGGCAGCCACTGCTGCACAAACGGCATGGGCCTGCAGCAGGGCAGGGCTATGGCCTGCCACCCCATCCAGCCACACAGGGTGTGCCGCTCTGCACTGCAACCCAGCCCTCATGGAAGCACCTGGAGCACTCTGAGACAGAGGAGCTCATCAAGGTGCAGGTAGGACATGGGGGCAAAACCTGCAGCGACCTGTTGGCAGGCCTGGGCCCCTATCTGCGGGAGAACAAGTCCATCAAGACCTCCTCGAGAACCTCCAAGGGGCTAAGAGGCTGCCAGGAGGTGCAGGGAATTCCCTGGCCAGCCAAGCAAACTGTGCGTCGCAAGCAGCTGTGCACAGAGGATGATGAGGCTACGATGCATCGTCTATGTAAAATGATGGAGAAGCTGGAGGAGACAGAAGACAAAGTCTATGAAGAGATGTTTAGAGCCATCTTCTCCTCTCTGGACGACACAGAAAGGCCCATGAGGTCCAAGTGCCTCCTCAGCGATGCATCAAGCCTCACTCTGGAGCCAGCTGCAGGCCCCTCGGTACCGCACGGCATTTGCAGAGGGACCAATGACACCACAGGAGAGACACAAACGTCATCAGAACTTGTGTCTCCTGACCAGTTCTTGGCTGACTCGGGCCCTGTCATGGAGAATTCACCGCCTGCCAATGCTCTTGTCAAGGAATCCGCAGGAGAGGCGGAAAACAAAACAGAGATTGCACATCCTGACCTGTTGGCAGGCCTGTGCTCTCTCTCTGGCAACTCACCACCCTGCGCCTTCCCCGATGAGCTCCTGGAAATTTATGAGGAAGAGGAGCTCTATGATGGAGCAGCGGCAGCAGAGAGTGACAGCGAGCCAGACAGCCCGTTGTCTCTCTCACTGCAAGAGGAGGAAGGAGAACCACCAGCTTCTCCCATGGACATGGATCCCTGCATCGAGTACTGCAGCCAGCCTCTCCCCACGGCATTGCTCCAAGACTTAAATATGTCTGTGGGTTGTCTCTTGCCTGCTGACCCTGCGGAGGAGGCCGACGCAGCAGGCATGGAGGCTGGCTGTGCCCGGGCTGCCCCTCCCCAGGAAAAGCCCTGTGGGGATGAGCCACTGGCAGGGCCGTGCCCGGTGCCTGCCCAGCCCCTGGCACACAGCGTTCCTGCCTGCCCCGCTGGCAGCGCAGCCGTCCCGCAGCCCCCGGCCCCACGGCAATGGCGCTCCATGGCCAAGAGGGCCCGGCGGGCTCTGCGCCGCCTTTTCTCCTTCAGCTGCCTCTGCGGGCGGCCGGAGCAGTGAGCCCGGGGCCAGCACTGGGACGCTCACCAAAGATGCCTCAGGGCTCACCCTGGGCATGCCCAGCTCCCAGGGGCAGCGGCAGCTCCCGGAGACAGTCGCACCAGGAAGAGTAAAACACCTGATGCACTGAATGGATGGATGGCGCCCAAGGCAACCACCTCCTAAAGGTAGGTCCTGCTGCCGGCCCCAGCCCCTCACCCCCAAGCCAACAGCAAGGCAGCCTGGTCAGGGACAGCTGGCTAAGCAAGGATGACAGCTGCCTGGTAGAATCCCAGAGGAGCTTACTCTAGGTCTCGGCTACTTTTTCCAGGGCCATCCCCACCCTTCCCTCAAGGCTGCATTAGGAGCTGACAACTTCTACTTGGGCCTCAGCCTTGCAGGTAAATGGAGGCAAGCCCATTCTCTCTTCACATGGCAAATAGGAAAACACCTCCCTGGATACTTGTTACATAAATGGGAGAAAGCTGTTAACTCCTGATGAATGACCCAAGGGCTTCACCTTCACAGGAACCTCCGGGACTCCCAGTGCAGAGACATGCAGGGTCAGGACGGACCGAGAGGATGCTGCTGGAATCAAGCATCTTGGACTGACCTCTGCTTGATCTCTCCCCTCCCCACCCTAGTCTTCCGCATATCACCCCACCCTCAGTCTTCCACACAACATCCTCACTCCTCACCCTCTTTTCTTCCCACCCCCCTCTGTCCCATCCCTATCTCTCTTCCCCACCTATCTTGTTCAATAAAATCCCCATTGTTAACTTCTGTAAATGGTCTCCTTGGCACCTTCATTTGCGCACAGAAACATCTCGCTAATCCCATCTCAACAGGGCCATACATCTACACACAGCACTCCAGGTCTGGCCTCCCCAGGGCCTGACACAGAGTGACAGTCATGCTGCAGCCTGGTCCTGGTGGCCACAGTATTGCCACCGGCCTCACTGCCCACCTGGCCACACACCAACCAGTATCTGGCCACTGTTGGCCAGCACGCCCCGGGCCTTTCCTGCTGGGCCAGCAGTGCCATTGTGGCCAAGAATGTCGCCAGTGGGATCCTGGCATGCCTTCAGAAGAGCATTGCACTGCTTGATCAAGTGATTCTGTCTCTCTACTCAGCCCTATAGAGGGGCATCTGGAGTGCTGTCTCCAGTTATGGGCTCCTCAGAACAAGAGAGACTTGGAGCTCCTGCAATGTTTCTACTGGAAAACAAAAAATATTATTAAGGGACTGGAGCTTCTCTGACAAAGATAAGCTCTGAGAATCGTGCTTGTTCAGCCTCAAGAAGCCCCACCTCAGAGGGGGCTTTTATCACTGTCACTCAGGACAGTGTCAGAGGATGGACCTTCACAGTGGTGCCTAATAAAAGGACAAGAGGCAACAGGCAGAAACTGATGCAATGAAGTTCACCTCAATATGATGAATCATTTTTTTACTGTGCAATGACCCAGCACTGAACAGTTTATCCAAAAAGGATGTGGAGTCTCCCTCACTGCAGATATTCCAGCACTGTTGGGACACAGTCCTGTGCCATATGCTCTATTATGACCCTGCTTGAGCAGGAAGGTTAGACCAGACAACCCACTGTGGTCCCTTCTAACTTGATGCATTCCATGATTTGGTGACATTCTAACACAGACTGTCTCACCCTGAAGTGGATAAAGTCTTATTTAAACAAATCAAAGTCACCTCCCACCTCCTTCTAATGGAGAACAAAAAACTTTCAGCATGCACTAAGAAGGTATCATTGCAGGACACAAGAAATCCATGACACTTTTGTATTATGGAAAGGATAATTTTTTGTCACAGATCTTGGACAGGCCTGCTTTCTTTAATTGTTTGGAGACTTCCATCTGCCTAAAGAAGCACTGTTGTTATATGTCAAGTTATTTTTACCTTGGTAAAACACATACTTTTTGTACTGATCTGCTTACCCAGCACTTTAAAGTAACCAGAGATGGATGCCTTTTCGTTAAGGCTATAAAAATTAGCTCCTTGTACTTATGAGTCAGAGCTTTCTAAAGCAGTTTGCTCCTTTTTCTCATAATGGAGCATTCAGCTTTCATCAGCAGTGCTTCCACTAACAATCCCAAAACCAACAGCCTAAAAAAATCATGATGAGTCCTTACAAGGAGTCTGGCAGCAATAATCTTCTCTTAAATACAGACAGACCAGATAAATGCTGAGCTGGCCACAAATTTTCAGACAAACAAGAACTTGCTAATGATGGATTTTGAAACTAAGAGGAATGGGGCAGCTGGACAACCAATCATTTGCAGAATTTCTCTTACAATATAACAGTGCCAAGCTCTGCTAGAAAAATAATGTAGCAGGGAACTCAAGGTTCCTGGAAGAGTGAATGTGGATGCCAAAATTTACATGTCAGTATCAGAGGACATTCAGAAAAAAGTTTTGAGAACCCCATGTAATTAACTCATGACCTCAAAGAAATCTGACCAAGTCCATCAGTCTTCTTTAGAAGACCAGGGTGAAGAGAAAGGTCTTTGTGATGTTAGGCAGAACATCCAAAAACATGGCCCATGTCTGCATGGTGAGAATAACATTCCTCCTCTTTTCCAAAGACCAAGTTTCAGGAGTTTTAACTTGTACCACAGCATTCAGGAATCACAAGACTTGATCCCTTGGATCGCCTCATAATTGTCAATGTTCTATACCAGTTTTTAAAGAGATAAAAAAAAATAAAATACCACACAAACCAGATATAGCTTGTCAAGGAATGTTTTGCAAAATAAATTTCCACTTTGTCTAAGTACACTAAAAATTCAGCTACAGTTGCCTAAAAATGAATGATTTCTATGCACACATGGGTGGAACTCTCAATGCATGGCTTCAATACACAGAATTGGTTACCCCTTTATGAAGTCAGTAACATTTTCAAAGATTAAGTAACATTTTAGGCTTACTGAGTTTTTTATATAACTTCATATCTCTTTTAAATCTCAGTTCAAATACAGGCTATTTGCTTGAGACTTTTAGGCATCTACGTGCTACCAAAAACATGTCATGCAGAACATCTCAGTAGAAGGGGATATGAACTGTTGTTGGCCATGCAGACTTGATAAATGTGTGATGGAAATTATTATTTCTTAAATGGAAAGCAACAAATATGCCAAGCAGAAGATGAATGACAGCAACTCAATCTACAAACCATATCTTCAGAATTCTATCTGTTCTCAGTCAAGAGAACAGGAAACTGAGATACACAAATGCAAACAAAGTTTGTTTTAGGACTCCAAGCAGAAATAAAATCCATTCTGAGAGGTGATGCTCTTTGCAAAAGGCTGTATATAATGTGTTCTTTGCAAAACACCAGAGGAAGGTACGTGCTGTATCACAGATACTATCAGTAACTGGAATTGAATACACCCAAAGGCAAAGCTACAGAAATGACATTTGATGCCACTACCTAAAACCAGTATCTCATAAGTAAAATAAAAGGAGAAATTTGCATTTAAAATTAACATTAATATTACTGGATACCTCTTCTTCTTCATATCTGAAAAGCAAAAGTAATGTGACCTAAGCCAAGCATCCTATGTCTTAACAACTATGCAGTTCCACATCTTCCTGAAGAAACAAATTCCTACCTTTTCATCTTTTCCCCTTAGTCAACCGGTGTCATCTGCTTCAGTTAGGATGAGTTTCAGCCAACACTCTTAGCCAAAACCCAATTTCAGTGACACACTAATCATCTAAAAAACCTGACCATCTGTGTTTCATGAAAGAGAGACGTAAAAATGAGTATTAGCAACATATTGATGAAACTGCAAACCAATCTGTCACAACCTTCTTTGCAGTCTCACATAAAAAGCACAGTTGGCAGGAATCTAAAAAATTCCATGAGAAAGCTTCTGGAAGAGAAGAAACAACTGCTTCAAATAACTCAGTTGTCTGGAAGAGGATAAAAAGGGAGTAATTAAAGCATGGAACTGCCAAACATTAAGATAACATGGAGACCCGGTAGCCATCTCTCATGGCCAGTGAAACCAAACACAGCACTTGTGCTTCACATCCCCCGTTGGCAATATAATACTACTAAGCAATAAACCCAGTGTGGGTTCAAACCCAGCATGGTTTCTAACCCAGCATTTTTGGAGGAAGTAGATGAAATGTACTTGATAACTTGAAAATTATCAAACTTTTTTACCTTCACAAAGGACTCCATAATACTCCATAATATAAAGCAGGAACAGCTGTCCTTTATTACCAGTGAGAATGCTCTCCTGGCTCATATTAAACTTGGTATCCACTGTGACTACAAAGACCATTACATCAGAACTTTGCATTTCTCCTTGCAGAACTTCTGAAATTCCTATTGGTGCCAGCCTCAAATTTCCCAAGATACTTTTACACTCAATCTCTACCACTTAAAATGTTTACTCAACACTCAAGCCTCATCCAGGAATTTGCTGAGGACACATTCTGTTTCACCATCTGGATTTTTCATATATTGGATGGTATCAGCCTCAGCATCATCAAAGAATCAGCCATTTCTGCCAAGAAAACAAAGAGGTCAGTCAAGTGTGAGCTGAGGTTGGTAACTCCACACTGATTGTGCTCAACCATGTTCTTCTCTTTCACACGTTTGGAAAAGCTCCATCATCTTATCAGAAACTCAACTAGGCTGAGCAACTTACGCAACCCCAAATCTGCCTCCTTATCTTTCCTTTAGATAAAATACTGACTTTTTTCCGTCATCAGGAGCCTTCCTGAGTTACCAATCTCAAACTTTTTGTCCCTTCAATGTGAAAAAAAAAAAAAAACTGTCCTTCACCAGACTTCAAGAAAAAATTGATTGCATCACTTCAAAAATCACACATGGATGCCATCTGTGGAATGCTACTCAACAATAAACTAACACATTCCTTCAGAATTCTCCTCTCTACCAAGACACTTTTCCACTCCAGCATAATCTTTACAAATTTTTGGGGTTTTACTATAACTTCAGATATTTTTTTCTTTCTCTTTCTATACATTCCCAGGACTAAACACCAGGGTCTCCCACAAGAAGCTGGGTATCTACCTCATTTCTAGACACAATCAGGCACATCACAATTCTAGTATTGAACAAGAAAGATAAACTGCAGCATGATTCATATTTCTGGTGCAAAATTTAAGCAAACCCATGAAAAGAATCTGCATTTGTGTTCATTCCTTACCATCTTCACTATTAGAAAACACAGACCACATTCATTCACTGATTAAAACAAAAGTTACGGCCAAGAACACCAGTTAAACTTGTAATTGCTATCAGCTAATTAAACATAAAAACATCTACATTACTTGAACATTTTTGAGGCTTTTGTTGAAAATTGGGCATAAAGTAAGATTATTAAGGAACAAGCCATTGCATTATATATTTTTTTTAATAAACTGCTCAGCAAATTAATGAGATTTGATAAAACCTGCTCAACAGAACAGCAAGACACATGAAAAATACTAAAAAAAAAAATTCCTCTGAGCAGTCAAACCAAACAAACTTGGGGTTTGAATAATGTAGCTCTGGGTCTCAATGCAGAGCTTTTGTTTCTGGAACAAACCAGACATTCCCATAGTTCTGCATCCTACAATGGACAGCAGTACCTGTCTGAGGAGA